CAAAAGAGTGAAAAAGGACGAGGAAAGTCGGCCCTTCATGCCTCAGAGAATGGCTAAAATTACAATGCCAATGATTAAGCCCCAAGGCCAGATCTCAGTGGAGGTGAAGGATTGCGGAATCTTGCGCTAACCAGGTCGTCTTAATGCTCCTCCGAGACAATGGTGCCACAACACAAATGATTGCTATGAATTACATATCGAAATCGAACAGATGATCTAGAGAGGCGACCCTATGAAGTACATCAAGAAGGAGAAGGAGGTGTGATCCAACACTGTTTGCGCAAGTAGTCCGGGAAGAGGAAGAGAAGTAGGAAGTCAGCCCCGTCCCCCCTACTGCAAACAAAATGTGTCTGAAGCACCGCCGAGTAACACCCAGCCAAGTAAGCACTCCAACCCTCTTGATAATGCTCAAGTATCGATTCTCCATCGGTAAGGTATGGTAGAAGTTATTAGCGGTAGCTAGATGGGACTGTTCGTCTAGCAGCGGAATACACTCCATTTTAGAAGGTTTGGTAGGCAAAAGGCGTCGTTTCTTTCAGATATCTTCTCAGACAGATCACCTTTGAGGTGTAAAATTCCCGCATGATGATGCTCTTGTCATTAGCACGCTTAGAGGCGAATATGAAGTCGGACGTCTCCTAAAAAACAATGACCAGCTCCGTAGACGTTTGGTACTTTGACGCGTTTCGGAAGATAGAGGGGCACATCAAGTAATTAAGAGCTTATGAGGGCTCGCAAAACAGGTTTTCAGAGGATGTAGTTAGAGTCAAGGAGGTTGTTCGATTGCCAATTACCTTAGGGACACCCTTAGGCAGGCACACATAGATGTCTGATTAGCCCATAATGGCATTATCGGTAGACCAGTGCTGAATGCTACTCATGCCGTCATCTCAACTTGTCACCTGATGATGAAGTTTGAAACTGAGACCAGTCAGAGTGAAGCTCGCCGAGCCCAGTTGATGGCCAGACAATGCTATATGGTGGCCACCGAGGGGAAGATGCCTGATCAAATTATGATTATAGATACGGATGTTAGAGATCCATTTACTTTCAATCGCCTTCCTTTGGGCGAGCTGACGGTGCAAAGACGAAGATCCCCATAAGACACATATGTAAATAGGAGTGAATCTCCGGGCAGACCTAGCCGTGCAGATCACCGGTCTATCGAAGGGTGGTGCAGATGTTTCCGGAAGGGAGCCATTAGACATGGTGCTGGCATCGACCCGACGGTGATATCCCGTAAGCTCAACGTTTCAAAGGACTATAAGCTTGTTGGGCATAAGAAAGCGCTCGTCCGGATGAGAAACAGCGAGCTAGACGACGAGCCATCAAGGAAGAAACAAAGGAATGTATCTAGAATGGCTGGGGAACGTGGTGTTAGCAAGGACATCAAATGGAAAGTGGAGCATATGCGTAGACTTTACTAATCTCGATGCATTCCACCGATGAAGAGTAAATAGAAGTGAGGCATTCTAATCTTCACGCAAAATGGCACGAACTGTTAAAGGTAATGTGCAACATACTAGGAGGCATTCCAACTAAATTCAAGGGTTAAAATGGTGTGTTTATTTGGGGGAAAATTTCACAATAAAAGAAAATGTTTTTTCGGGAAATCGTTTTTCAGGAAATTGTTTTCCCCTTTTCAAGTTAGTGAATTCATTAGCCTAACCTTATGCATGCATATTTTTTTTAATCATCAATGGTTTTCTGTTGACCAATCGTTTTCAGTAAACCAAATGCACGAAAGTCTGGAGAACTAACTTGCGAGAAAAAATATTTCACTCGAACAAACAAGCCCTAAGCCGACAGACGAAATTATGTGAATGAGAAATGACAAACTTGAAGTATGTACATAACAAGGTCGCGGGCCAAAAAAAAAAATCCTTGAAATGCCCAAGCGAAAAACGTAATTTACATGTATAGCTTGAAAGATTCGTTAAAGATGTGTTTTGATTACGGCCAAGTACTTTCAAGATCTTTGGTCGAGGAGCATCTCGGCCATTCGGAACATGTTTGTTTGTGCGTCCGTATATCATGTAGACCGATATCATCTTAACCATTAATTGTATAATGACACATTGACACCCACCGTGGGGCCCTTTGTGATAGACGGTGGACTTGAAGAGGGGTTGATTGGTGGTGGCTCATTGGTTCAGTTTTCAGAAGCTCATGGGCTGTGATTTTAGCCCATTTTAGTATTGATCTAAAAGGGCCCATTAGTAAGAAAGCTAGAAGTGCATTATCATTTTCGTCTTAAATAATAATAAAGAAAAAAGGCGAAAAGTGGTAATTTATTAAATTAATTAAATGAGGTACCTAGTTGCAATAAAACAAGAGGAGAGAGAGTTGTGCGCTTTGAATGGGCAGGGACAGATAGTGGCAATACACTCCTCTTAAGTCGAGGGAGAATTACATAAATGATCCATGAACTTTAGCACAATGGATAATGTCGTTTCTGAACTTTTAATTTGTTTAAAATGATCCATGAGCAATTGGTAAATAGTCAATGTAATCCTTTCTATTTGCTCAAAGACAAATTAGACGTTATATGATGATTTGAACTATTACATGCCAGTCTAATGCATTTCAATCCGTGAGATTCACTAAAATCAATGATTGGAAAACATTGGGTCACATGCATCCGAAGTACGTGAGAATTTTTCCTAGGTGGCAATAGGGTCCGACAACCCTCGTTCGCACACGTTAATTGCCCATCATGTAGGTAATGTCACGTCGACCGATCATTAGTCTTCGGCTATACTTGTGTTGTGACTTGTCACCCCTCCACAAAATCATCCTACCTTTTGCCATTTGTGGAGTATTCAACTAGCTAGGTAGGTTACACTCCTTTGGAAATAAAGGTTTGAGATGCAGAAATATAGCAAGGAAACAAAGTATCTTGAGCACATGCCGACCGCAAAAAGGACTTGTTAACTTTTGAGATTGCCTAATCAATATTACATGCTCTAATTATATTTTTGTCACGGGTATGTTTGGACTATATATGTAGTGGACAAGCCTATAAAGGTCGAGTCACAAGAGGGCGCCGACCAGCACTTGTCTTTTGTGGTAATTTGCTTTAGGATGAATAGAATGTTATCAATTATGTTTTGAGGGCATCCAAATAGATCACAAGTAGATTAGGTGAATATTCAAGACATGTTTTATACTCATCGATCATATTATGCTTGAAGGAATTAAATTCTAGCATTTTGTCAAGAAGTAGCTACCCATGCTGAATTAATGGAAGTTGAAAATATAAACCATCATTTGATTTTGGGTTAATATCATTTAAAAATCTCAAACCGGAACTCACATGATACATATATCCCAAACTAAAATTCGTTTAACAATAATTCTAAATTGGTAATCCGGTGAAACTTAACCCAAATTAATTTTTTTCTCACGAAAAATCTCAAATTTGCATGCTAGACCCAAATCTACCCTCCATTAATAGTTTGAAACCTGATGTGGAGGGTTTATTTAGGTCCAGGGTACTGGTCTGGAATTCTATCTCAAACTAAAATTCGTCACACAAAAAATTCTAAATTGATAACCCTTTGATACCTTTTAACTCAAATTAATTTTTGTCTCACGAAAAATCTTAAATTAGTTCCTCAAGACCTAGACCTCCATTTTCCATTCGTCAACAGCTTGAGATGTGATGTGGAAGTAGGATACCAATTTGGAATTTTTCATGGGAAAAAGCCCAGTTCAATTGTAAATGTGTCGCGGGATATCGGATTGAGATTTTTTGTAACACGAAAATCAAGTCAGATCAAACACGTCGTGACTGACGATGGACCGGTTTGGGATTTTTTAATAATATTTCGAATATATAAAAAGAAAAAAGAAAATTGAGACCATTCGAGGGGGTTCTATCCTTACTGTTGTTTTCACGACGTGTGTGGGTGAGAGAATTATTGGAGAGTGCAGATCGATGGTTGGACAATGTGCCGATAACTGTCTCCATCTCTCCCCAACTGTTTTCCCGTGAACCTTTATCAAATAATCCCATCACCTACAAAAAAGAAAAGAAAAAGAATCATTAGTAAATTATTTTAATTATCCCGAAAATTCCTCGAATCAAGCGTGTTCGGCCGCCCCCACTCAAGACCTTAATTTGTGTCGTTTCCTATTAAAAATTCCAAACCGTGATCCCACCACGCATTTATCCTAAATTAATTTTTATCTCATGAAAAATTACAAGCTGGGTACCCCATGACACATTTATCTCGGAGTTATTTTCATCTCATAGAAATCTCAAATCAAGACGACTCGAATCTATGTTGCTGTCAAAACAGGTGTGCGTCAACACACACGAATTTTTCCTTGTCGGATTTGTCATTCTTTATGTCAAATTCATCTTACGGTTGTTTGCCACGTATGTTGGCATGTATGCATTTTATTGATAGTAGATTTGGCTCAGGGTTACCGATTTGTATCTTTTGTGAGAGTAAAATTAGTTCGGGGGTACCAACTTGAGATATTTTTACGAGGCGAATTGCATCATGGAGTACCGATTCCAGATTTTTTTTTCTGGTATCGACCTTTTTTATATTTACAAATTTATAAGACCATTTCAACCTATATACATAGTTGGTCCTGAGCAGGATTTTAAAATGTTCAATGGGAGACATGGGAAGAAATTCCCCGGCACGGTGGAGAGTCTTCCCTGGAGGGAACAGCGGGGGCTTTGGGTGGAGAAAATGAACTCCGCGTCAACTTCAGATTAGCTATCGTCGGGTAAGCAGATTTAGTAACCTCCCACCCTTAAAGGCCACAAGGTGGAACTCTTGGGTTCCTACTGGGTCGGCCTGTGCTTCGCAGTGTCATAAAAAAAAAAAAAAAAAGGAATTCAGAGCACTTTTTATCAGGGCATACAAAAGAAAAATGAAAAATAAAAATCAGAGGCGCGTGTCCCTCAGACGCGACAGCCCTCCCGCTCCAGGAAGCAGCACGAAGCACACTCGTGTCTGGTCTTCTCTCTCTCTGTCTCCCTCTCCCTCTCCCTCTCTCGTCACAAAGCAAAAAAGCGCAAGCTTTGGAGACTTTGAATCTCCTCTCGCTGAAAATTCTTCTCTCTTTCCTTCCTTTCTTTAATCTTTGCTGTTGCCGCTCCTCGATGTTTTCTTTGTTCCCACTCATTCCCCTGAATTCTCGCCATCATTCTTGGACCCCAATAGGAGAAAAAGCATCACCAAACAAGAAGCTCTCTCTCTCTCTCTCTCTCAAAACCCAACAATGGCTCCGAGTTTTCTTGATTTGATTTAGCTTCTGATGATGATCAGTTTGAACGGAATTCACTCCGCTCGTGCCCTCCCCGTGATTCCGTGCTGATTTTGGTGTCCGGGTTCGTGCTCTTCTTGACTTTCTTGCGTGCTTTCCGCCGGTTAGTCTCTGTTTCTTGAATTTGGTGATCAGCACATTTGTGATTCGGAGATCAGGTGGCGTATACCCTTTAGCTCAATCGTGGTGTGCTGGTGCAGATGTGTGGATCGAGTTCGTCCTTCTGAAGCTTCGTTGCTGCTTCGCTTGTCGCTACCAACACTGTTGACTGGCTTGACTGCGACAGCCGAGTCTTTGTAAAATCTCCATTGGGTATGCAGATGTTATCTAATCTGTACTGTTTCTTCTTAGCTTGAGCTCCATTTGCATAGCACTTTCTCTCGGAAGTAAGAAAAGAACTAACTCAAGGTTGTGCGATCATCTGACTTTCTTGTATTTATTTTCATCCTGAGAAATGAAGCAGAAAGATGGGTTTACTTGCGTAGTGTCAGGGCCGATTTATCGATATTTCTTTTCTTCTTTTTCTTCCATGTTACTCGATCTGCAAAAGAGACCATCTCGTTATTTTCGGGAAATAATTTCGACAATTCGCTTCATCGTTTTCAATATATGGCTTCTGGACGGATCCGTAACTGCGCTTGTTCACAGAATTTTGTAGCTTCTTTTCGACAATTTTGCATTAGTTGCGCCATCATAATCAATTTGAGGAGTTCCCATTTCACTTTCTTGCTTATGCTTACGGTTACTACTTGGCTAGGACTGGGTTTTCAAGTCGAAGTTAGGCTTTTACTTTTTGTATTGTTGTTCTTATTTCCTTTTCTGTGCTCAGATGTTCGCGAAAAATACCATTCAGAGGTCATTTACGAGCTTCCTTCCTTGGGTCCAATTTACGTGCCAAGAAACTTGAATGAGCTGGTGACCATTTGAGTGAAGCGAGGGACAGAATCTGCTAGCCGTGACAAATAAGGGAAGAATCGCCGTAATGGAGGAAAGAAAACTGAATTTCAACAGTCCGCTCTTGTCTGTGCGGCGATATTCGATGCCTGCATCTTCGAGTTCAGACAAAGGGAGGAAAATTCAGAAATCCTTATCCAATCGACAGCACACGCTCCCCTCGAGTGATTCGGACTCGAACATGGATCAAGTAACTGAACCAGTCGCTGTGCCTTTTACATGGGAACACATTCCTGGCAAAGCTAAGGACAATCGTGAGAAATCAGAGGTCTTGCTATTAAAAGGACCTAGTGTTTCTCCAAGGCTTCCTCCACGAAGGTCTCGGGAATTTGCAGTTGCAAGACACTTGGAAGGACCTAGCTCAAATAATATCGCCGCTAAATTAGATAGCTTCAAACAGGAAATAGCAGATGAAAAAGAAGGTGGTTTTGTCGAGGATGATGATGATGATGAGGATACTTATTCTGATGCAGTCGAAACATTGTCTACTACTGATTCACTCTCATTTCCTGTCAATTACAGCGTAAGTGGTTTGAGTGGAACAGACGGGCCAGTTGTGAAGCCTTCGGGAACCTTCTCGGTAGATTCACAGACTCGAGACTTCATTATGAGTCGCTTCTTGCCAGCGGCGAGGGCAATGGCCTTGGAGCCTCCTCAATATTCTTCCAGAAAGCAACCTGCTGCAACTGAGCAAACAAGAGATGTTGTTAAGAAGCTCATTGTTAGTGAAAGTCGACCTCCCCCGAAGCAATACAGTATGGAAATTGTACAGTACTATAAGCAAGACACATGGGAGGAGGAAAGTGTAGACGAAGACGAAGATAAAGGTGAAGGGAACAATGATTATGGGGGTATATCAGCTAAAGGTTGTGGGTTACTTCCTCGCCTATGCCTCTTAAATCCAGTTCCGGGAATGAAACCAAGGGCGCTAAGTCCTATGTCTTTCATGTCCCGAATGAAAGGAGTGAGCAAGGATGGTTCTGCTCGATCGCAAAGCCAGCCTAAGGTATTATGGTATTCTGCTTTATGCTCTTGTAAATCATGATTTTGCAGACATGACTAGTTTGTGTTAATTATATCACAGGAAAGTTACCCTTATACCTTGAACTATAGGGGATCCTGCATTTGGCAACCTAAACAATAAAACATGGGACATCACCATCCTATGGTTTCACATGACCACAAAACTCATGATCACACCAATAATTTTTATATTTATGCTTAAAAGGACCACCACTATATATGGGTGTGAAAGCAAATTTCCTTTTCTTAGCAATAAAGAATATTATTAGTCCATTGCTCAGAGTGCTCTGTATGTCAAATTTGCAGAACGCTGGTCCTGAGTACAAGTTGGACCATGGTAATCCCACTCCTAAGTTACCAGGCGTCGAGAATAGGATGCTCAGCAGCTCTAGTCGGTTTAATTTCTCTGGTGAGCTGAGGGCGAGAGGTGGATTATCTCCTTACAGGAGTTCTAGAAAGGACAGTGTTGCTCCACAACAAAACAGACCAGCTCTGCCTCCTCCTGAAGGATTTGGATTTCTCGGCCTATCGAAAGAAGCCAATAACATTGACCCAAGCAGGTTGAAGTTGCTTATAAAGAAAGTCGACAATATGCAAAAAGTTTCAACAAAGTATAAAGCAAATCAAAGCAATAGTTTGGTCAGCCCTGCTGCGGAGAAAACTTTATATGTAGATACTGTAAATGCTGAGGCAAAATCATGTTGCGATTCAAGTTCCTCTAATTTGGAGGTGCTCTTGAATTGTTCTGCAGAAGACATGGAAAGCCATTCTGACACAAGAAAAACAGAAGAGAATCCTTCCGAAGAATCTTGTTTCCAAGATATAGAATGCTTGGATTTACAGAAGTCAGGGACTGCCTCGGGACAAGATCTCGCTGTGCTGATAGATGCTAATCCCTCTTCTTGTTTCACTACTCTCACAGGCCAAGAAGAGACAATGTGCATGTCGGCTGATGGAGATTCAAACATCACCTCTGCGATGGTGAAAAAGGTTGATAAGGAGGAGATGGATGTCGCTTCACTTCCCTTGCCTTTACTGAAATCTCCTTCCGAGTCTTGGCTTTGGCGTACCCTGCCCTCAATTCCGTTGCGACATCCATTGTCACATTTGACCACAATCACTTATTCCAAGAAGCAGGATGCAATAGTATCCGGCACTGATACCAAGTGGGAAACCATTGTAAAAACTTCGAAGCTTCACCATGATCATGTCCGGTATTCTCAGGTAACATCAGTATATGAAACTATACTTCTTCCATATCATTATGAGCTCACTGAGTGACGAGAGAATTGATTACCTGATGAATTACACTGCAGGAACTAATTTCTCATGTTTCGGAGCAACCCAAGTTCTAGATGTGCAAAATCTCCGTTCAATGATTGAAGAAGTCAAAATGGCACTTAATTATTTTGGGTAAAATTCTTTTGGGACTGTTCTTTTGTTCTGCTACAACGGATGTTTCATGTGCTCATTTTTAGACTGAGTTACACAATTATTGTTCATAAGAGAGAGGTTATGGAGCTGAGCTTGGAGAAACAGCAGCTGATGAAATTCTGAACAAAACCAAAGTGCCTCAGCCACTCTCTCTTTTACTTTCTTTTTTTCTAGTTAAATTTTATGTATAGGTCAACTAGATATATTCCAATTGCGAGCCCTCTTTGGAGTGGCGATGATAGTGTTGTCCATGATACTCGAGGAATCCATTAATTTGATGATTGGAATTTGTTGGTTTTTGCTTCATTGCATATTTAGAAAAATGTGCTTTACGCATAGAACTCCCTGCAAATATAATATTCTCTGTTCATTGTACACATTTGTGCTCCAACCTCATCTAGTCATAACATAATCTAGAGTTTGATTCTAACAAGTTAGAAGTCAAATGAATTGTTGTTAAAATGTGGTAATTGTTGTGCTCAAAGCATATTGATTCATCTTTGATTGATTATGCACCGCCAATGAGCAGATGCATTCAGAAGAAAAAGCATACCAAGGAGTCTGCGGAGGTTCTGAGATACTTGAAGTTTGAAACATACAGCAGCTCTGTTAGAAAATATGCAATCCATCGTCCGATTTTTATTGGTTTGTTTAACTGAATACTAGTAGAGTGCCTCCAATTAACTTTCTCAAAGTAGATATGAAATCCAAAGATGGGTCGGCTTAGTGGCCGCTGTATCGAAATGGAGCTCTATTATTTCCCACATATAGGTATAATGTGCAGTGTTTGGTTTAGCCTTGGCCAAGGATCACATGTCATAACAATGTCAGTTGAAATCTCTATCCGTGTTATTTTTGGTTCTGCATTTGTTATTTTAGTCCGGGCATTGGTCTGTTTTGGTGGGACCTTCTCGACTCCCAAAGCTACTGAATTTATAGATGATATGGTGTACGAAATCTGTGTGATATTGTATTTTTTGCGAGTCTATTGTAGAATTGTGGAACCACCCGTTTCTTGGTAGACGGTCTAGTAGAATGGATCCGGACAATATCAAATCGATTACAGTTAAAATCTTTTACACGTGATTGGTTTGATCTGATATAATCAGCCTAGATAGATCTTCTAGATAGACCCGCTTCTATTTCTCGAGGGAGGTAGACGTTATGTCAACAGGCAAAAGCTCTATGTTGCTTGTAATGCAACTTGGCCAGACAAGTATCTTGAACTCTTAATCGAAATCAACTTTCATTTCTTTTCTGCTAGTATATTACAATGGAAGGAGCTAGGGCAGTATTATCCGGCCTGGCTCAACACACAGTGATAGAATGTTCGTCGTTCCGTTACAAAGTTAGGCTCACCTTAGGTTCTCAACAGTCAATCGACCCAAACGAAAAACTAACCACTGCCATACAAGTACAGAACTCCCCTTTTTTTCTTGATGTTTTGACATTGGCGTCCACGCAGTCAAACCAAAAACAGGGCTTTCTGGCATGTTATTCTCACTTGCATTGATGTCTCACACGGTGTAAACAAGGTTTTACACGGATACATAGATCACCCTATTGCACACTCGCGAAACACGCAGTGCAAATGCACGCTCAATGATGCAAGAAACAGAGAACTTTTCTTAAATTTAATTGATGGCAAATGCAAAATCTCTCTTGCAAGAACACTGTCCAGAGATTTGTATAATTGTAAAACTCTAAAGAACTAGTTAAGTTTGAAGGAAGTGCAGGGATGAGATCCAAAGTGCTTTCTGATTCGTGCAGACAACTTTGCTCGATTTGGAGGATTGTGATCTAAGTAATTGTTTGGCTTCTTGATGTCTAAGTTGCTTTTGGCTAGTACTGGTTGCAATTGCTTTATCTTGATTGAGTTTACATGTAGCTGTTTGTTTCCTGGAGTGATTCGCCGTGTAAGTCTCAGGAGACTTGATCATGTAATGGAATAGTTGTGGCACCTATGAAATTTTGCAATAGAAGGATGTAGTTACTCCTCAGAGAAAATAAAAACTGGGGATTTCTATTCTTTTTAAATGCTAGATATCTAAATGGGTTACCATATTTGTTTTTACTATCACCTAGAATTCCCAGAAATAATATTTAAAATCCTAGAAAGAAGGAACTAAAATTCAATAGCAATGTCGATAATCTAGTACTATGTCGTTCTTCTCCATTAGGGAAAAACTCGGACTCTGAATTGTGCACGCTTCTTGCCCCCTCAATAGGAAAAAACTCCATCTCAGGATAGAGTCAATTTCAATAAGTCCAGCATCTTTTTCAACCCAATTGTCAGTGACTTGGAGAGGCAGGTTCAGTGAAATTCTTGGCATCAAGCAAGTCCAAAACCCTGGCAATTATCCTGGGTTACCTACCTTGTGGGAAGAGCAAAGAATGAAGCATTGGGGCTGTCAAAGAGAGGATTCTGAGGAAACTCGACGGTTGAAAGGCCATACTTCTATCTAAGGATGGAAAGGAGACACTGATCAAGGCAGTAGCTTATGCGATCCCTACTTACTCTATGGGATGTTTCCTAAAAAGTGGTGCCAATATTTTGATGCAGCTGTGGCTAGATTTTGGTGGGGACAGAGGAATGGTGAAAGAAAGATCCATTGGAAGAATTGGGAGTCTCTTATAGCAGGCAAGGCAGCAGGTGGGCTTGGTTTTAGGGACATAGTGCTATTCAACTTAGCTCTTCTAGCAGAACTGGTTCGAGAATTTATCACAATCCAATAAGCTGTGGGTTTGCATTCTAAACGGACTCCACTTTCCTAGGAGTTGATTTCCTTGAGGCCAGAAAAGGAAGAGGATCTTCATGGGCAAGTATCTAGGAAGGGAAGGTCTTGAAGGATGGTGCTCTCAGGCAGATTGGTGATGGTAAGCAAGCTTATGTTTGGAATAGTAGATGAAACCCAACTACCTGGGACCATAAACTGCATCCTATTGCTATCAATCCTTAACTGGCTGATATGAAGGTTGTGGAACTCATTGATACTGATATAGGATGCTAGGAATTATCTGTGATATAGGATTGTCTGACTGATAAGGAAACCAGGCATGCCCTATGTATTATTTTGTACAGTGTTAGACGTCCTGATCGACCGGTGTGACCATGGGAAAGAAGAGGGACTCTCTCTGGCAAATCTGCCTATCTTTTTCTCAAAAAAGCTGCTTCCCCTAATGTTCATACTAAAGCTTCTAGCTCAACTCGGGTGCATAGCAACCTTTGGAAACAAATCTGGAACAATATTTTACCCCAACAATCCCTCCCCAACACCACCACACCACACCCCCGCCCGGTCTCAAACAAACTTAGACACTTCCTTTGGCAAATGTGTTGTAGAGCCATGGCCACTGGTGCCAATCTATTTTATAGGAAAATTCATACTTCCCCTGCATGTGCTTCTTGCGGAGATATTGAGACAGTAGAGAATCTGATTCTTTAATATGAACAAAGTAGAGCTGTTTAGCTGGTTGCCTTGGTTACAGAGTGCAGAAGGAAAAAGTTGCTACCGAGTGGCTTCAAACAAATGGCTCAGCTAAAGGGGAGTCAAGGTGAAGATTACCTGTCTAAATGTGCTTTCATCTCTTAGCACATTTGGAAAAGCAGAAATGAAGGTCTCTTTAATGGGGAAATGCCTGACCCTGATAATATAATAGCCAGGGTGAATCAATCCTACACACAGTTTATTGAGGTTCCTATCAAGCCAAACCTCAAGGGCTGTCCTAGCATGACTAAGAATGCTACTGATGTAGATATGTTTTGGCATAAACTTTCCCCAAAATGTCATTAAGGTGAATCTTGATGGTGCCGTTGAGGAGGGTAGATGAAGGGCTATCACTGGAGTCATAGTAAGGGCCTATTTGGTAACCGGTCAAACAGTACCTGATTCTATTATTTTATTACCGGGAACAAAAAAAGAACAGAAATTCATTTTGTAAATTTTTTGTTCCTGAAAACAAATTTGTTCCCAGAAATAGTTTTGGAACAAATTAAGAATAAAAAAAATGTTGATTATTGATTCTAGGAACAAAAATCAGAAACGGAAAAGAAATTTTTTTCTTCTTCTTCTTTCCTAGCCTGAGGCCAGTGGCCGGCGAGGGCTGCCCTCACTAGATCTAGCGAGGGCTAGACCCTCGCGGCCAGAGTGAGGGTCGCCCTCGTCGGACCCTTACCAGATTTGGTGAGGGCGGCTCGCGGCTTAGGCAAGGGCGGCGGCAAAGGTCCATCACTCACCAGATTCGATGAGGGCAGTCCTCGCCCAAGTTGCGAGGGTCCAGCCCTCGCCTGCGAGGGCCGCGATGCCCTCGCTGGCCATGGGCCAACGAAGGAGAAGAAGAAAAAATGAAAAGAAAAAAAAAAGGAAAAAAAGAAGAAAGAAATTTTAAAAAATTCAAAATATTATTAATAAAAAGAAATTTTGTGCAGTTACCAAACGAATTTTAGTTCTTTTTCTATTCCAGGAATAGAAATTTTGGGCAGTTACCAAACGTCTTCAAATACTTAGAAATTATTTCCGGGAATAGAATAAAAAAAATCATTTCTGAACAGAAATTATTTTCGAAAACAAAATGGTTATCGAATGCACCCTAAGAGACGAGGAAGGGGAGTTAGTAGGAGGCTCTCTGGAAAGAGGATGTGGGCAGTAAATGCAGAAATGATTGAATCCCTGGTAATGAAGGAAGGTTTACGTTAAATTGACTTGTAGTTTTCACAACATCACTTTCGCATGTATGGCGGCAACTTCACTTGGACACGATAACTCGGGGAAATTATCCAAAAAGTTCTAAACCTATTGCACTTTTGCCAATTCAGTCCTAAACCTTTTAAGTTTGCCAATTCAGTCCTAAACCTTTTCACCTCTTGCCAATTGAGTCCATTCGGCTAACTTTGACCGGCTGGCGCCGACGTAGCTGTCGGCTGTCCGGCCAAGGCTGACATGACAATTTTTAATTTTTTTTTTGAATTTTTAATCTTTTTTTTTCTGCCTTCTTCTCTCTGGCCGATTCGGCCAGAGGCAAGGGCCAATGAGGTCGACCTTGTTGGCCTCTAGCGAAGCTCGCCCCCGCTGACCCCTGGCTAGGCGAGGTTGCCTCGCCCAGCAAAGGCAAGGCCGACCTCACCATCGCGACCTAGGCGAGGTTGCGACGGCGAGGTTAGCCTCGCGACCCAAGCGAGGGAGATGAGTCGTGACCTCGCCAACCCTCGCCTCTGGCCGGTTGCCGGTCACCGGTCGTCGGACCGGCCAGAGGGAAGAAGTCAGAAAAGAAAAAAAAGATTAAAAAATTAAAAAATATATATTTAAAAATTACCACGTTAGCGTTGGCCGAACGGTCGGCGGCCACGTCAGCGCCGACCGGCCAAAATTGGCCGGATGGACTCAAATTATAAAAAGTAAAAAAGTTTAGGACTAAATGGCAAACTTAAAATGTTTAGGACTGAATTGATAAAAGTGCAATAAATTTAAGACTTTTTGAATAATTTTCCCCGATAACCCGCCCATGACCAAACTCTTCTAACACCAATTTTCCCTCCTCATAAATTTGATTGTCTAATTCATATTTCACCTCGTTATAGCATGTAGAACGATCACTGCACTATTCAAGGCTGATAAGCAATCTTTCGAGCGGGAAATTAAAAAATATGACTATTTGGTGAGTCTTCAAGAACATCGCGGACAAGATTACATATGTTTATCGATCCTCAAACTTCTCTTGAAGTTTTGCATTCCCACGGGTCTTGCATCCGGAGTGATATATGCATCCTCGCTCTTTTGCCACCTTACACAGACTTTCAATTTTCAAGAGAAAGAATTTGTGCAAAGTTCATCATCAAGATCACTAAGGCTATGCATGGCAACCATTCTATACCCGAGAATAGATTCTGCTCAGAAATGATTCTTTTGATTCTGTGTCCGAAAATAATTTCTAAGCATTTGAAGGCGTTTGTAACTGCCCAAAATTTCTATTTTTAGAATAGAAAAAGAATAGAAATGCGTTTGGTAACTACACAAAATTTCATTTTATTAATAATATTTTGAATTTTTTAATATTTCTTTCTTTTTTTTCTTTTTTTTTTTCTTTCTTTCCCTTCTCTTCCTTGGCCAAGGCCGGCGAGGGTGTCGCGGCCCTCGCTGCCGGCCTCGCTAGATCTGGGCGAGGCCTCGCCGTCGTGGCTGTGAGTAGCCCTCGCCCAGGCGGCGAGGGCCGCGACGCCCTCGCCGGCCTTGGCCTGCGGCCGGTCACCGGCGGCCGGCGGGTGGCGGGCGGCAGGCCGAAGAACAACAATAAACCAAAAAAAAGAAGAAAATGAAGAAGAATCAGAAATGGAAAAATTGTTCCAGAATCAAGAAGCTACTTTTTTTTTTTGCTTCTTGATTTTGTTCCAAAACTGATTTTGGGAACAATTTTTTCCAAAATTGTGCCCGGGCATAAAAAATTTAACAAACGGATTTCTGCTCCCAAACTAATTCTGACAACAAAAGAATAGAAATTTTTACTATTTGGCAAGTTACCAAATAGGCCCTAATTGTACCATTCTATGCTCCAAGATATGCTTTAATCAGTGAAAAAGAAAAATCAAGATTGAGGTGGAAATTCTCTGCTTCCATCATTGCATGTAATGGTGATTTTTGTTGTCTGCCATGTCAGTCACGTCCGATGTATCTATCACAACGTCCACCAGTTATGATGAAATGGATGGCCTTCAAGACCGCTGTCAGACAGCTTATTGCTGTCAAAAATGGCTGCATCTTCATTTCTTCGTCAGCAAGATGGTTGTCGCCCAAGACATCATTATCAGCTATCAGTCTTTCTCAATGAATCTCCTGCTCCTTCACCAATTGAGGGAAAATTGTCTCCGATATAAAAAAATTAAGAGAAAATTATCTAAAAGGTCATAATTTATTACACGGTGACCAATTCAGGTTTAAATCTTTCAATAATATCAATTTAATTCTAAACCTTATGACAACCTGCTAATTTAGTCTTAAATCTTTCAATTTGATAATTTAGTTTTAAATCTTTTGATGATTTATCAATTAAGTCCTAAACCTTTTAATGATTTGACAAATTAGTCCTTTTGACCAAAAGTAGACGTGACAGTCTAGTCAACATTAGCACTGGCCATCCTACTGCCATGTTTGGTACTGATATAGATAGTTTTTGCAATATTTTTTCTTTTTTCCCTTTCCTTTTCTTTTTTCCCTCCGCCGACTGTTGTCGGGCCTTGTCAACAGGCGAGGGACACTTGCACCTGGGCTCACGAAAGCTGTCCTCACTTGGCCTAACGAGGGCTGCCCTCGGTTGATCTAGCTAGAGTGGCCCTCACCCGAGGCCAACGAAAGGCGCGGCAATGGCCGACAAAGGGAAAAAAGGGAAAAGAAAAATGAAAAAAAAAATAAAAGGAAAGGAAAGGAAAAAAAGAAAAAAATTAAAAAATTAAAAGTCGTCAACGTCAGTAATTTCCGGTCAAAATTGGCTAGAATGATTAAATTGACAAATCGTTAAAAGGTTTCGGATTAAATTGGCAAATTATTAAAATTTTTAGGACTAAAATTGGCACAATTGAAATGTTTAGGGTTAAATTAGCAAGTTATCCTAAGGTTTAGGATTAAATTAACACAATTAAAAAGCTTATAACTAAATTGACCTATGTACAATAGATTTAAGACTTTTTGGATAATTATCTCCACCTATTAAGCTATACTTCCAAACATGTACTTTTAGTTACCTTGATATTTATACAACTTTCATTAATATAAATTTTTTAATGTAATTTAATTTTTTTGAATTAGGTAAATTTATTTGTCAAATATTAATTTATCCAAGTAATGAGAATACTTTTCATTTTATTTGACCTTTTTCAGATTTAAAATTAATAAAATATGATAATGACAAATAATCTAAAACTGATTGGTCGAATATGCGGCATCTCTATCCTCTATATAACGACAAACAAAAATCTGTAAACAACTAGACAATCCGTAGTGGTGCAATATCATATAACTTCTGAGACTAAACAAATTAAGCACTTAAAAAGCTCTCACCCTTTAAGATTCACCTTAAGTAGATGAGATCCAATTTCAGTATTCATTCATATCTTTCACTAAGGTTATAAGTTGTGCTTGATAGAATCATTTTCTCCTGGCAATTCTCCATATCACGTCTAAGCTTGAGAGCTCTTTGAACAGAAGGAATCAAGAAAGACCCAGCTTTGTGCAGATCTCTTGGTGGCTTCTATATTTAGTCTGCTCATCAAGATCCCCAATTCCTTGGCTTAGCTTCAGCTGCAAATCAATCAACCATTCCTTGCTCCTTGACACACTCTCCTGGTTCAGCTCAATTGAGAGTAAATAATACAGTTTAGCAAAGATTTGCTAAAACAAATAACAAAAGTGAAAGAGTTTGCATAATGATGTACTAAGAACTGATTAAGAGGATATTACCTCAATCTGAAATGAAGGCTCTAACTTCAGCTTGAGTTTGTTGGACTTGAGAATCGGATCAAACATGTCGGATTTGCAAACCCCAGAATTAACTCCATGCGACTTTCGCTCGATGCATTGTACATTAAAATGAGGGTGATTGTGCGGTTGCAAATTGTTGTCAGCCCAAATGCTGCTTGAAGTCTTATCATTTCTCCATTGAGTTGTAATTGGTCTTTCCGTAGGCCACCTCTTTTCCTCGAGAAACCGAGCAGGTCTCACCGAGCTGAATTTCGTATCCTTATTAATTGCATAGACTTGGTTGATGGCCATCAACTTTTTCCAGCGTTGAAATAGAGCTTGCGCTTTTAAGGCATGCTCGTCGAAAGCCAATGGTAACCACCTAGAGAGAGAGAGAGAGAGAGAGAGAGAGAGAGAGAGAGAGAGAGAGAGAGAGAGAGAGAGAGAGAGAGATATGGTGAGAGAGATTAGATGGTGCTCCTCAAATCAAGAACGTTTTAAATAGGAAGACTGATTCAAATCACCATAGTTAATCTTCAAATGGGAAGAAAATTCTCAAACTTTTGGCTCTTAGAAGAGAGAAACAGTCACAGGAACGACATACATAGTGGCAATGAGGAACTATACTATGGTCCTTCCTGATCAGGGAGACTTATTGTCGAGACTAATCATTGAGATTTCTTGTTACAAAATTGGCACTGAGACCATGTACCCATGATCAAAGTAAGACCATGTATAATGCCTTTTGTTATGCTGCAGTAATAATAGCTTTTGAATACAGATACCTTACCTTGAGAGGACTGAATCCGAATAGTTGCGGAATCCACAATAGTTTCTTGCTGGAACAATTCTTCCATTCTCCACCCTGAAGTGATGGCGAGGACCAGTCATTTGATGAATCTTTCTAATGATATTGTTGTCTCTTAGTCGCATTGATCCATAACCACGCAATACTGCAAAAAGAAAAATGTTAAAATACGCATGTCTTAATAGAAGATCTTCGGAAAATTTTGCATTTTAGAACAATGAAGTTCGGCTTTTAATGGCTGCAGTTCTAATCTAACAATAGAGTACTATAATGTTAATACATAGTCTGATATTTCACCTTGCCCGGCCACATCAAGCTTCTTGCTTCGATACATCTGCATTCAAATTGCATGCTCAATATGACAAAATGAAATGAATAATAGTTATAAAGTTTGAATGGACGAAAGTTGGTCATCAGATACTAAGCTATAGACCTGCAAATGACTCTTGACATGGTTAATGCTGAGTCCCTTCACATTCATTTGCTGAAGAACCAACTTCGGAGTGGCTCCTGTCCAACACAGATCGGGTATTTCCAAGCGGAAATTGATAAGGAAATAGATCTCCACTTTTCTTGCACAATGGAAAGGAAAGCAGAAAATTTCAATTAGAGATTAAAGGGGCAGGAGTTCACTTTCTTGTCCTCCAAGCCTTTCCACAGCTTGGACAAAGCAGTAATGTAACTCGGGTGTCCATCGTAGCCGAGGCATCTTCGATCCCACATATTGTCTCACTGCTTTCGTAGTCTCAGCGCGCTCAGTATTCCCATTTCCAGGCTTATCTTCAGCTTCTCTATCACTACTGTTGTCATCTTCATCGGAAATGAGGTCATCGTCCTCAGCAGGGCTATCATGCTCATCAAAGATCGCTTCTTTGTTCAAGTCAAAGCATGAGAGCTTCTGAGAAGAAACGGCTGGTGATGATTTTTCACCTTTTTCCTCACTCCTGCCTTGGTGATCCTCTGTACTCTCTAGGCTTCTCATGGTTCCTCTCAAAGTGGAGCGCTAACAAAAACAGCTTCTTCTTTATAAGTTTCTGCAGTAGCAAGGAGGGGAAAAATGGAGGAAGTAGCTAAGCAGAATTTAGGAACAAAAGAATAATTGTACTTAAAAGAACCTCATCGACACATTTTTTTGGCAGCCTTTTGGTCACAGAAAAACAAAACGAAGATACATAGGTTAAACACTTAGAAAGCAAGATGATGACCTAGTATAGATATATTCAAGGGTCTATATTTTCCAGCATAGTGAAAATTCTATGTTTTAATTTTTAAAAAAATGAGAACATTTATTTAGGTTGCTGGCTAACTGTAAGAAATCACTGCTCTCCAAACCTCACCTGTTGAATCATATACCGGTGAGTTATTTTTGCCTAAAGTTCATCAGCCATGCACATCAACGGAAGTAGTTGGAATCAATTGCCTCAGGTGGAAGAATGCCATACTTATACTCCAACCAGACAATTTCACTCATAATTCTGGGTAAATTACCTAGGAATGGCTTTTAGAAATTTGTTTCCAGACACGTGAAAAGACAATATTAATTGTTGAACTGAACAGTGTTCAAGTTATAAAAGATGAAAATGGTGGGTGGTTGCAGATTGCATCGAAATCAGAAACCTAGAAAAATTAAAGTCGTATACATGCGAAAATAATTGTATAGCATCCTATAATTCTACCATTACAGACATATAACTAAGAAGGAACTAAAACCCTAGTTCAGGAACTCTTTGGTAATCACATGCATCTCATTAACATGTCAACCATGATTGCTTTCCCCTTTGTTTTGCAGTGACGGTTGGGTTTATCATATGTGAACACTACCAAACTATGAAAACAACTGCAAAGGTCATTCAACACTGCAAGAGTATGCTTTTCATGTAATCAAGATATGTATTGGGGTTGCTATAAGTTAAGACTTGCTTGTGTGCGCCTAGAAAAACCTTGTTGTTTGGTATGTGTGTGTGAAAGAGAGAGAGAGAGAGACAGACAGACAGACGGAGAGAGATCAGGTGCTGAAATAGATCAAGGGAATCAGTGAAAGTGATGATCAGGTGCTATATCTTGAGAAATTGGAAATTTTGCTTTGGCAAGAAAAGCACGCCAATTTGAGTGAAAAGGAAGGAACCTTAACAAACATGCAAGTTTTTCTCACTCACTTGATCTCCATGCGATTTGTGCAAACCACTTATGTTCGCTGCATCACCCTGCACCCCTCGCCGCAGATTCCTCGTGTATTCCCTTCTTCGGACCCTTCCTTCTTCATAGATTTACTAACATCCTAGACGCCACATTTATATTTGGTAGGCGTAATATGAAGAGGAAGCTGCTTTGTGCTTGAATATCTTAGCAATGGACAACCACAAAGGACGAGAGAGAGAGAGAGAGAGAGAGAGAGAGAGAGAGAGAGAGAGAGAATATGGTATTTGGGTCCATATTCTTTTCATTAATCAAGCAGTTGCAATTGAAGTCATTTCCATATTCAGAAATTCCAACCTGTTCTAAGACCCTTTTCCCCACATGACATGAAGAAGTCAATGATGAATGAACCTTCACTTGTGCTGTTTATGATGCAATAAAACCCCAGAATAAATGCTCACAGATGCAACTATCCTCCTTTGGCCTTCATGTGACTATATTTATCCTTCTTTTCCTCCTCCGCACTGAATTTTTGAACTTTGCATAAATCTAAATTAAGTCGAATAGACTCGATCAATCATGAATCGATCAAATGATTACGAAACAGGAAATTGAAAGTCGTCTAAGCTATCTAGGCGATCGGGATTGACTTGGTCTGCCAAAGACTAAGAAGCCCTACACATACTAGTTAATCATCTCTGATCTCTTGTGATTATCTTAATTGTTTGACCTCCAAGAAAAAGCCATCGTTGTCATTGCAACAGTCCAGGTTTTGTTTTTCTTCAATTTAACTTAAAGGTTTTCAACTGGGTGTCAGTATGCGGGGGCCATCTCCTCTATCAACCCGTCAATGTCATCCTACCAAAGCCTGACTTTCTTCCCCAAGTCGTGGCACTATTTCCTTGTCCTCACTCTCTTATTTTTGGTGTTCACGTCAACGTATATGACTATACATTAGTCTATGGGGCATGTGTTAAGACTTTGAATCCTAGACCCACTTTGAAAAGTATTGACATTAAAGAACAAAGAAAAGTGGAAAAAATCTAGATGGCGGTCCATTTTGATGGACTTGGTTTGCAGTATTCAAATAACCGGAATAGAACCTTTCTCCTCAATTTTCAAAGGCCATGATAAGATTAGATGATTTTTTTTTTCCAGATTGACATAATTATATTATGCTTGATTGAGCTATGTGGGGTTGAGTCCTGCTAAGTGGAAAATAAAGGATTAACTAGTGAAGACTTGGGGGAATTGTTGGACATCATGCATGAAACCTATGATATTCAATAATGCAGATCTAGAATTCCCTTGATTTATTTCTAGACTCCATTTGTTTCGCAGAAAATGAATAATTTGGAACACAATTCCTAAAAATGATCGCATATATCGCTTGAAATAATAAGTCAATAGAAAATATTTTCTTTATCGACAATTATTCAAGTCTAGACATCTTCGTAAATAATGAAAATAATTTACATTCATTCATTTTCATAAACGATATAAACGCTTAGTTTTAGGAAAATATTTTTCAAATCATTCATTTTTCGCGAAACAAACGGAGCCTTAAGCTTCGTTTGTTTCACAGAAAACAACTTTCCGGAAAAATGTTTTTTGGATTTTCCGAGGTTCGGCTCATGGAAAATATTTTCCCTCAATAAAAAGAACACCTTCAAAGTAAATGATTTCCTTTTTTGAACTCTTTCCTCTCTACACTCCTTCACATTCTTTTTCTTTTATTTTGCTTTTGCTTTTTTCTCTGTCGCTCACCGGCCACGGCGACAGCCGGTGATCAACCACAAGCAAGGGACGAACTCGCCGGATCTGGCGAGGCTAGGCTCGATCTCGCTCAAGGCTAGCGAGGTGAGGCCTTGGCCTCACTCGAACGGTGAAAAATATTTTCTAGTTCATTTTCATGTCTCAGTCAAACACCGGAAAATATTGTTATTTTCCCAAAAAATTATTTTCCTAAAAAAAATTTTCAAAAACGCCACATTTTCCGCGAAACGAACGGAGCCTTTGATACGTAAGGGAAAGTTTCTTCCAAGAATCCGTTTTCCGGACTTTCACCCGTTTGGTTTCTCCGAAAATAGTAACTCTACTGAAAACACTTTCCGGTCAAGGCAAATATTCATGTATAAAATTAGGAAAGTGAATTTCCTGATCTAAGAAAGTGAAAACACTTTCCGGAATTGCTCATCTTGAATTTGTTAATATTTTTTGTTTTCTTTTCTTTTCTTTCTAAGAAGGAAAACATTCATGTATTTTCTTTTCTTTCTAAGAATAATTTAAAAATAACAAATAATTTAAAATATATAAATTTTTTTGATAATTTTCACCATCAAATTTTTCTCACCAAACAACTGAAAGTACTTTCTAAGTCTTTTTTAAGTTTTAGCCAAACACCGAAAAATGAACTCATTTTCCTCGAAAATGATTTCCTAGAAAATATTTTCCGGAAATGGTCCGTTTTGCGCAAAGTAGACGCACTTTTAGGCTACGTTTGGTCCTGGATTTCTAGTCGGGATAGGATTGGATAGGATAGGATTTAAAATCCAAGAGATTTACTATATCCTATCTATTGTTTGGTGAATCACGGAAATAAAACCGGATATTTTCACATCTTACTATATTCATTATTTGCTATGAACGTCATATTAATGTAAATGAACCCAAGAATTGCATAAACGGAGATTATAAAAATCTCTCTCACAACACTCTTACCTATTTCATTTTTATTTGCTTATTTTTATTATTATTTTTGCCTCTCTTTTTAATTATTTTGTTTTTTATTTCTTTTTCCCCTTCAATCATTCTCAAATAAAATTTTATTAAATAGTAAGCTATACTAATGTACCTAAAATATATAATAAATATAAATACATTAGTATTGATTAATCTATGAAATTTATATCACAAGATATAAATAAATTTTTAATATATAAATAAAAAATAAGAATAAATAAAAAACAAAATTATTGTTATGTTTTTGTTATTTTGAATTTTTATATTAAAATTCATATATTATTTTAATTTTATTAATTTGACAAGTTTTTTATTCGATAAAATTAACTTTTATATTATGAATATTAGAAATCCTATCCACCTTTATCCCACCTCCCATGGGATAATTTTATCCGGGCCATATTCCTCCTATATCCGACTTTATCCTATCTTGGGTAGACACCAAACACGGGATAGGATAAAATTTATCTTATCCCGAATTTTATCCCGACCACCAAACATAGCCTTAGAGTATAAATATTCACACATTCCTTCAATTTCCTATAGAGATTTGGTTGCCAACAGTTGGTTATTACTATTTTTTGCATCTATCGATACTGCAAGTAAATTATTTTGCCCAAAATTTGTTCATTTTAATTTGGTTGTATCATAATTACTGTTTAATACTTTTTACTTACATCATTTGTTATATAGACATTCATGTCTTTATGAGAATTTGCTAATATCAAATGAAAAGGAGCATGAGATATTGTTCAGAAGTTACAATGAAATTTTGATGTAGACTATGCTTTGAACTTATTACTGCTGTCAAACTCTCCCGCGCTAAACCTAGGTTCAATTGAGGGCCTACCAGGAGGAGAGCCTCCCGCCACGGCGGTGGTGGAGGTGGTGGGAGCCCTGGCAGCGGTGGAGGAAGGCGGCATTGCAGGCGAAGGAGTAACGGAGAACAGACATGGGGAAGCGAAATGTTGGCCTAAGAAATCCGGGTATGCCATTTGATCGAGCTTGGGGAGCTTCAGTGGAGGGAGAATCTTGGCAAAGAGCAATCTTAAGAAGGTGTACATTAAAGCAAGAATGATGGAATCTAACCCTAAAAATAACCAAGGGTTGACAGTTGAGATTAAACCTTTTTTGCAAAAGTCAAGGGCTGCGGAACGATCCGATAATCTCGGCCAAGATGGACAGACGAGATGGAGCGGTAGAAGAAGCGACGTGATGATCGTCAGCTACATCCACAATCAAACTGTCCTGATCAAAAACCACATGATCCAACGGCAGTGAACAAGCCTCGGTTCGACTTCTCACCGACGTTTTGCGCGGATCTCGAAGCAAAGGTAAGGTTGACACGACATGACACGTATCTAATCTTAGATCCTCAAGATAAACCCGATGAGTTTGGGAGTTGGGAGCCGGTGACTATGGTGGATGTAACCCGCCGATGAGCACAAGGCACGTGTTCCTCTTGGACCCTTCAGGGGCCACCAACCGAGGGTGGGTTTGGACCGACGAGTAGCGCCACCCGTACCTGTCGTGACGAACCACACCGAAACCCTCAAGCTAAGTAAGCTCGTCCTATTTGAGAAGGTCGCAGTCCATCCACAACCTGACGAATACCTATTAGTCCTCGTCCATGGCTTAACAACCGCCCATCTGCCGGGATAGTGCGGCGACGACCTATCCACCAATCAAGGGTATAAGTCAATCTCTTGATTGGAGTCCTGGCGGACTACGTCTGATCAGATTGCGCATCAGTACTCGTCTACCTTCAGTTGCAAGGTCATGGAGATATATGTAGTATTGCTATTTTTCTTTTCTTTAAGGAAAAATGCCATCAAAAACCTTAAACTATGCCACTTGTGATATATTTATCTTAAACTTTTTTTTGTGACACGAAAAATCCCAAATTATGCCACTTGTGATAAATTTACCCTGAACTTTTTTTTATGACACGAAAAACCCCAAACTATGCCACTTGTGACATATTTACCCCACAATACTTTGACCCATGGGCATTTTCGTCTTTTCTTTTTTTTTTTTTTCCTTTCTTCTCCTGCGGAGGGAAGTCGACGGGGCGGTCCGCCGCGCTGGTTGGGCAGGGCCGCCCGCGGATCTAGCGAGGCACGAACCGGCGAGGGCGATCCTCGCCGGACGTCGGCGAGGGCGCCTCGACGCCGGCGAGGGTTGCCCTCACTGAGCGGGCGAGGTGCCCTGCGGTGAGCGAGGTCGACCCTCGCCGGGTCCGGGTGAGGGCGACCCTCGCCCGACTCAGTGAGGCGACCTCAGCGAGGGCGGCCCTCGCCCAACCCACCACCGGCGAGGACCGCCCTCGTCGACTTCCCTCCGCCGGAGAAGAAAGGAAAAAAAAAAAAAAAGGAAAAAGACGAAAATGCCCATGGGTCAAAGTATTGTGGGGTAAATGTGTCACAACTGGCATAGTTTGGGGTTTTTCGTGTCATAAAAAAAGTCCAAAGTAAATTTGTCATAAGTGGCATAGTTTGGGGATTTTCTTGTTACAAAAAAAAGTTCAGAATAAATGTGTCACAAGTGGCATAATTTGAGATTTTTCCCTTTCTTTAATTTCATGAGACACGAAGAACCATTGTGGAGTATGAGATGCGAATGCAACTATAGGACCTCTTGTTTTTTCCAAGACTTTCTAGAAAGAGCTTGGGCTATACTTGTCTTGATCATTCGTCACATGCGAGAGGTCGTCTTCTTTTTAAAGTTTCTTTTGTGTAAAGAAGAGAAGGAAACAAGGCTTACGATAGTGAGGTTTGATTAGAAAGCGTGCGGAGAGAGACTAAAAAAATTACATATTCAATTTCGCCAACCGTGTCAAACTACTCTATGTCAAGACTATCTATACCGATAGAAGATATGGACTTAATCGGTTTAGAGAACATGTAAGGTGTTTCATGGACCTTCGGGTAACCGGATTCCTATATTAAAGAAATTAAAGATGCTTGACCAACTCAGAGAGAAAGAGCTTTTATAATTTGTCTTATCCTATGGGTACATTATATTGACGCTCCACAGAATCTTTTCTATTTTATTTCATGGATGAAGACTTCCAAACCTCTCTATTATAACATTCTATCAAGTAATACGTGTCTTTCCAAAAATTCTAAAGAATAATGATTAGCATGAAACGAGTCAAATGACCATGAAAGAGAAAGAACATCGCTTACAAGCTTGGACTTATATAATTGCTAAGAAATTGTCCAATCAGTCATAAACTTTTCAATCTTGTCAATTTAGTCATAAACTTTTCAATCTTGTCAATTTAGTCCTAAACATTTGCACAAAATTATAATGTAGTCCTTCTAGCCAATTTTTATGTATGGCGGCATGCCATGTAATATGATTAGCGATTACTAAACTGTCACGTCAAAGATTACAAGTGAAAATTGACCAAAAGAATTATATTGGAATATCGCGCAAAGGCTTATGACTAAGTTTGCAAAATTGAAAAGTTTAAGACTAAATTAACCTTCATACAATATGTTTATGACTGATTGGGTAATTTTCCCTATAAACTCCGATTTGCATCCATAACAAATAATTTGTGATAACAAGATTACATTCTAAATTCCTGTAATAACACTATGCATAAAAGAATTAATGTGTACTTTATGCATGCCAATTTGTGAATCGTTTGGGTCTACTTGCAAGGCAATATGAATCGACGTAACTTATTAGATGATATGAGAAAATTCAAAATAAAGCGCGGATATATAGACTATTGCCAAATTAATCCATCTTTAATTAATTTTTCGAGTTATGCGTGCAATGAAATCATATATTAAGATAACCCTATTCAATTCATTAATAAAGAATCACATGGTCCCTAGATTGATGTCTAGAGTGTTGAGTTGTGGTATGTAAGGTTGCTTTGGGGCGTCCATTCTTCATGACTTCACTGTTAGTGGGAAAAGATGAAGTGTCGGACCAAGCAATCTACATATAACAAGCATATGAAGCTGAAGCCCAGTTGACACGGGTGTCGCTTTAGCATATGAAATGGGCTAGTGGGGCTGCAGCTTCTAGGGCCTAATTGGTGTGTAAGATGGACCGGAGCCGACTGGCTAGCTGGGCTTGTGGCTTTAGCGAAATGTAATCATGTCAGCTATATAAATGAGAGTTAATAGCACAAAAAACCCCAAATTGATACACTTGTAACAAATTTATCCTAAACTAATTTTTTTAATTACCAAAAATTCCAAATTGGTATATTTTTGAAAAATTTACCCTCCATTAAATTGAATTAATAAAAAAAATCACAAATTGTACACTTATGAAAGACAGAAGGTAAAATCCCAAACCGGTACATTCGTCAACTGCCATGTGTCATTTAATTTAGCATTTTGATAATAATTTAACTGAAATTAACAGAGGGTAAATTTTCCACAACTTAGGCAATTTGGGGTATTTTCGTCCAAAAGTATTTTAATTTTTTTCACTAATTCATTCCCTGTTCATAGATCTTCTAATTGTTTAGGACCCAATGAGGGATATCCTCCCGTACCTCACTTGGTTTTTAGCCGGCCTTTGTTAGACTGCCCTAGAAGCTGCAGCCCCAGTAACGCATTCCAAATGCTAAAGCCAAAGCCCATTAGACTAAAACCCATAGAGGGTGAAGTCCACAGGACAAAAAGCCCGGCCATATCCTCTTCTTTCTTACACACTCTCTAAGTGAGGTATCTTTCCTTACCTTACTTGATTTCTAGCCCACCTTTACTAGGCTAGTGGCTATTCCAAGTTAGTCTAGACTTCATAAATAGATTTATTTCAATTGTAGTTTCCCAACACAAGGGTTTATGAGAACCCGCTCCGATTGAGGACCATAGGACCCCAACTCGTTTATTATTTATTTATTTAATCTTCTCTTTTCATTTTGTTGTTCCATTTTTTTGGCTATTTTCCATTTTTTGTACTTTGATAAAAACGAACGCTTGAATTGTGAACAAAAATTCAAGTGTCAACAATGGGCCATAGATAATTTAAGGTATCGTGTAGGCGAGGAAAATAGTTTATAAACGACATTGGCTTAAAAAAACATAGTACATGAACGATGCCACGAGGTGGACCAGTCAAGAAGATTACTTCGATCCACTTCTTTTCAAGAACCATAAGCTTCGTTGAAGGACCAAAGTTAGGAATAATGAAATTGATGGGATGTACCCAAACGTTTGCCCTACGTTCAATCTTACGATTAAACTTTTGTTTGTTTAATCAAGTGCCATAACTTTTCAATAGCTTGATCATTTTGTCAAAATAGCTAACAATAATATAAGTTGACGTGAATGATTAGATCATTACGCTGCCCTTAGTTGTACACATCAAACGTCGATGTTGTCTTCGTTCACTCTATTGATGTATTTGGAGTAGTCTGTTCCCACGTATGTTTCCAATCAATGGTAGATGAAGATGTAAACCTAGCAGAAGGTTGTGGGATGTTCTTCTTACGGAGCAAAGACCCTACAAGTTTCGGGGCTCTACTTGATAATGACGCCATCTTAGTTTGTGGAGCGGAACTCATCATATCGAATCAAGTGGCATATGCAACATACATATTCAAGACAACAATGGGCCATAGATAATTTAAGGTATCATGTAGGCGAGGAAAATAGTTTATAAACGGCATTGGCTTAAAAAACATAGTACATGAACGATGCCACGAGGTGGACCAATCAAGAAGATTACTTGATCCACTTCTTTTCGAGAACCATAAGCTTCGTTGAAGGACCAAAGTTAGGAATAATGAAATTGATGGGATGTACCCAAACGTTTGCCCTACGTTCAATCTTACGATTAAACTTTTGTTTGTTTAATCAAGTGCCATAACTTTTCAATAGCTTGATCATTTTGTCAAAATAGCTAACAATAATATAAGTTGACGTGAATGATTAGATCATTACGCTGCCCTTAGTTGTACACATCAAACGTCGATGTTGTCTTCGTTCACTCTATTGATGTATTTGGAGTAGTCTGTTCCCACGTATGTTTCCAATCAATGGTAGATGAAGATGTAAACCTAGCAGAAGGTTGTGGGATGTTCTTCTTACGGAGCAAAGACCCTACAAGTTTCGGGGCTCTACTTGATAATGACGCCATCTTAGTTTGTGGAGCGGAACTCATCATATCGAATCAAGTGGCATATGCAACATACATATTCAAGAGCCAACTTATTGTCATTGCCAATATTAGTTCCATTGGGAACCTAATCACCTAATTTCAATTTTCGTAAT